CATGAGGATCTTATTTGTTCAGCAAGTACCCATACTTTTAATGTAAAGAGATAAAAAAAAAGTCATCTCATTATTATTGAGTGGAAAAATATATTTCAGTTCATTGTGTAAACTACAATCTCATTTTGGTTTCTTACACACATACAATTTGTAAATGTGCAAGGAAATGTAGTTACCACTGGAGAACTGAGAATATAGTAAGAAAAATTATTTTTATAATTTAAAAATATTGCACCTTGAAAAAACATTTAGCTAGAAAGGGAATGCATCAGAGCTAAATTTTTCGTAAAATGTAGATTTAATTTTAGCACAAAATGTTAATACATTTCTAAGATTTATTAATATATGTACACAAAGCAAAAAGTTCACATTATAATTAGATTTTAGGTAAGCAGCCCAATTCCACGACAACCTCTTTAAAAGATTTCCAAATGCAGTATAAAATGAGTTATCCAAAGTGGCCCAAATTTCAAGTCCTGTGGTATGATAAATTCCCAACCACAAAAACAGCTAATGAAGCCAGAAATGCAAGCTTACCACTGTTTATTTAGGTATGGTAGATTTAAGTTGAAAACTTTGCTGGACCTCATCAGCATTAGGTGATCTTGGGCACAGCTGTCATTCTTGAAGGAAAACAAACAAGGATAGTCCTGATAGCCAATTTGAAAACCACAGCTGCTATTTATTTTGTCATAATATAAGTAAAAATGTACATAGCTCATTATTGCAAACTGACATTATCAAATATAAAATTCCAGCTCAAAGAGCTAGTTAAAAAGCAACTACCTGGAAAAGTATTGATCATTCAGATAGCTCAAATAAATAATACAAATAATTACTTGTTTTCTCTAAGGACTCAGATCCCCTCATTTTGCTTCTCTGTGGTATTTCTGTTGTGTTGAGAAAGTGGACTTTAAGAAATGTTGTCTTCTTTCAGATAAACTCAGTCTACAGTTTCAGTGGCTGTCTCGGCAATCTCCAGCTCAACGGGGCCTCCATCACCTCTGCTTCTCAGACTTTTAGTGTGACCCCTTGTTTTGAAGGTCCAATGGAAACAGGAACTTATTTTTCAACAGAAGGAGGATATGTGGTTCTAGGTAACATGACTTATGTTGAAAACAGGAATCATGAAATGCTTTTATCCTGGAGATGGCTAATAGGGAATATTGGGACCAGAGTTAAAACTGAAGCATGCCAAACTCAGCCCTAGAAGATGACCTCTTTTCACAAGGATCACCCTTCTCCTATCACTCCAAACCAGACACACAGTCCCTGACACGAGTTTCTCCACAGCTGCCAAACTTCTACATGCAGACCATCTTGGCTCCTTTAGAACTTCCTCTGCTGCTCCATGGCCTGATCCATGTCGCTCCTGGCCACCTTGCTCCTCTATGTCTTCCTCTGCTCCCTCTAAGCATGAACCATTGTCCCTACTAAAGGAAGTCCACTTCCTCCCTCTGCCCTGCAATGCCAGCAGACAACACTATCCTTCAGAAATGTTATCTCTGGAGTTTTATTCTCCTCGACCATTACTCTGTCACTCATTCATTCAACAGTTCTTATTCTATGCTTCCTGAATGGCAGTCCCTATGCCAGATGATGGAATATAATAGTTTTCAAATCCTAGCAGACTACACACAATCACCATCCAACCCATTCCAACAGACATTCGACAGAGCAACCGTTAGGTGTGAGGAAGGCACCAGAATAGGTGCTGGGAATGAGGTTAGGAAAAGGGTATAAAACCACCTGCTCCCTGCCCTCAAGGCAGTTAGGTACTTTGAACATCCCCTGAATAAGGAAATTACAGTGCAGCCAAGCACCCTTTCTTAAAGCACCGAGATGTTCAGTAGAATAACCTCTCTTGGTCTAGTACATGATTTTACTTTCCTACCCTGTCCCACTCCCCTTTCCTCCTACTAAAACACCTACTCTCACATTTCTCAACCTTTCATTGAATTTCAGTGATAAGAATTATAAAGGTTTGGACAGCTTGAAATGCATAGCAACCTGCACAATTTATGTACTACTCCAAGAACATTAACCAATAGCAGGAAAAATTTAAAAGGGATTTATAAGGAGACACGTCAAGTGAACATTATTAGGATGCCCAGGTTTGCCATGAGTCTCTTGGAGCGAGCATAGCTATTCTTAATGAGAATTTTCTTGAATTACCTCAGTAACAGCTCCTAAATACTTTTGCTGCTCTCACTTTCTCTCTGAAATTCTCTGTAGCTCTGGCATGTTAGTTTTTTATTCAGAATTATTTTAAAATACAGGTCTAATTAAGTCAGCTCCCTTGCTCAGTGACTGCAAAATAAAGTCTAATTTCCGTACTTCGGCATTAGAGCACTTTCCAGAGCAGCTCGCCATGCCGCCTTCTCCCTTTGCAGGGACAGTCCTGCCACACTGGCCTTCACAGTGCTCTCCAAGCATTCCAGCCTCTGTTCCTGTGTTCAAACTACTTCCTCTGCCCAGGTTGCCCTGTCCTCCTCCTCACTTTTGAAATATTAAATGGTGCTGCTAGTTGGAATTAATCTCTCCTCCCCTGAACTCCCCTAGCACATAGAATATTTTTCGTGTGCTATCCCCAACCCCCAGCCCATGGCAGGAGTGATATGTTAGTTATCTTAGTCTCCCACAGAGCTTTCCACAGCGAGTTTGACATGGAAAATGCCACTTTCTACTTATCTGTCAAAAAATGTATCAGACTTTCAAAAATCGACAGAAAAATATATAATTACGAAATCACACCATAGCTACAAAATTTCCTTTGCTATTAAGAGCTTAAAGTATTTCTCTCCACAGATGAGTCTTTCAATATCGGACTGAAGTTTGAAANCTCTAATGCTTTCTAATTTGCTACTTGCCTAATACACAGAATCAGTATTTGTATTCTTCAGAAAGAATTTGGATTTAATCAAACTACAAGTTAACCTAATAAATGTGTCTTATCCATAGCCTGGAGCTAAATTTCTAAGAAGTTTTATTTAATTTCTACACACTCGGGTGGCTGCTTTTAACATGTGGTATCTATCAATTAATTCTTACTGGGAGAAAATTTTAATCTGTATTTTAGATAGTACACAAATCATTATTTATATGAAAATTTCTATATTCTCATTAATTACTCACTAGTATTTTGTTCACATGGATAAACTTCTTTAACATATAGGTTTTTACTAAATTGCAACCATATTTTCACAGCAAGACACGATAAGATCCTTAACTGAAAGAACACTTCCTTAAATGTGGAAGGTATCACTGTCATACAAGTAGAGAAGACTTTACATTTTTAAACTAGTCATGCTTACCCAATATTCATTAATAATACTAAGGGATAATTAGAAGGAATGCTGCTTGGGATTAGATAGAATGGGTACTTATTTATTCTTCCTTACATTGTATTACTTTAAGAAGTTAGAGATTAGCCTCAGTCTCATTTTACATACAGTAAGATTTTGCTTTTCATTTACCAGATCTCAGTTTTCTATTCGTCTGAAAACTCGTTCCTCCCATGGGATGATTTTCTATGTCTCGGATCAAGAAGAGAATGACTTCATGACTCTATTCTTAGCCCATGGGCGCTTGGTTTTCATGTTTAATGTTGGCCACAAGAAACTGAAGATTAGAAGCCAGGAGAAATATAATGATGGATCATGGCATGATGTAAGTTGAAGGCAGAGAATAGCATTATCAGCAAATATCCACCATTGTCAGATGGACTAACACTAATGCCCACTATTGGTCTCTCTAGAAATATCTATTTTAAAATTCTTCTTTTATTCATTTCTTATAAAAATCTTGGAACATACTATTTGAAAAGATACCTAGGCTGAGTGTAATTATTTTAAGCAAGGATCAGTGGCCAACATAAACTGAAGTTTGGTTTCCAGCGACTTTTCACATGACTTTTTTTTCCCCTTCCTATAGGTTCTTAATTTTCAACAATTATTACTGAGCATCTTTTATAGGCTAAGCTGTGGAAGTTACAAAGTGAAGGGTAAATCAGGAACACAGGATGTCACAGGGGGCACACCTAAGTATTGAAAGAAATCAGTGGGTATATAATGTCAAGAGCAAGTGATGTAAGGTGCATTACAATAAATTATAAGAAGTTTGAGAGAGGGAGAGAACGTGGGCTGGTCAACTGAGAAGAGCTTCACGAAGAACTCTGCTAAACATAAGCTGCATTCAGCAATTAAGCCTGTAACTTTAAATCATTCTGTCCAGGGGTCATAAAATATATGGATCACTTCCTCTAATATATGAAGCGGTAAATAGAAGGTGAGCAGGAAAAATACACCTATGAATATAAAGCAAGGAGGCCTGGAGACAACTCACAACAAAACAGAATCAAGTAAGGGATGAGGTTTCTGGCATTCTGAAAATTGTATAGCCGGAAGCCTACTAAAGAGAGGAAGAGACAAACCCCTGACCTTCAGAGAAGGGACCACTTTTTTTAATGAACTTTTCTGCAAGTTTCTCATAGCATTGCAAAAGCAAAATTGGGAGGAGAGGCAACCCATCCTTTTCCCCAGTCTTTGCATGTACTTGAGATGTACTATTGCGCACTCCGGTGAGTGCAGCACTGGGAGCGCAGCGTTCTGACACGAGTTTCTCCACAGCTGCCAAACTTCTGCATGCAGACCGTCTTGGCTCCTTTAGAACTTCCTCTGCTGCTCCATGGCCTGATCCATGTCGCTCCTGGCCACCTTGGTCCTCTATGTCGTCCTCTGATCCCTCTAAGCATGAACCATTGTCCCCTACTAAAGGAAGTCCACTTCCTCCCTCTGCCCTGCAATGCCAGCAGACAACACTATCCTTCAGAAATGTTATCTCTGGAGTTTTATTCTCCTCGACCATTACTCTGTCACTCATTCATTCAACAGTTCTTATTCTATGCTTCCTGAATGGCAGTCCCTATGCCAGATGATGGAATATAATAGTTTTCAAATCCTAGCAGACTACACACAATCACCATCCAACCCATTCCAACAGACATTCGACAGAGCAACCGTTAGGTGTGAGGAAGGCACCAGAATAGGTGCTGGGAATGAGGTTAGGAAAAGGGTATAAAACCACCTGCTCCCTGCCCTCAAGGCAGTTAGGTACTTTGAACATCCCCTGAATAAGGAAATTACAGTGCAGCCAAGCACCCTTTCTTAAAGCACCGAGATGTTCAGTAGAATAACCTCTCTTGGTCTAGTACATGATTTTACTTTCCTACCCTGTCCCACTCCCCTTTCCTCCTACTAAAACACCTACTCTCACATTTCTCAACCTTTCATTGAATTTCAGTGATAAGAATTATAAAGGTTTGGACAGCTTGAAATGCATAGCAACCTGCACAATTTATGTACTACTCCAAGAACATTAACCAATAGCAGGAAAAATTTAAAAGGGATTTATAAGGAGACACGTCAAGTGAACATTATTAGGATGCCCAGGTTTGCCATGAGTCTCTTGGAGCGAGCATAGCTATTCTTAATGAGAATTTTCTTGAATTACCTCAGTAACAGCTCCTAAATACTTTTGCTGCTCTCACTTTCTCTCTGAAATTCTCTGTAGCTCTGGCATGTTAGTTTTTTATTCAGAATTATTTTAAAATACAGGTCTAATTAAGTCAGCTCCCTTGCTCAGTGACTGCAAAATAAAGTCTAATTTCCGTACTTCGGCATTAGAGCACTTTCCAGAGCAGCTCGCCATGCCGCCTTCTCCCTTTGCAGGGACAGTCCTGCCACACTGGCCTTCACAGTGCTCTCCAAGCATTCCAGCCTCTGTTCCTGTGTTCAAACTACTTCCTCTGCCCAGGTTGCCCTGTCCTCCTCCTCACTTTTGAAATATTAAATGGTGCTGCTAGTTGGAATTAATCTCTCCTCCCCTGAACTCCCCTAGCACATAGAATATTTTTCGTGTGCTATCCCCAACCCCCAGCCCATGGCAGGAGTGATATGTTAGTTATCTTAGTCTCCCACAGAGCTTTCCACAGCGAGTTTGACATGGAAAATGCCACTTTCTACTTATCTGTCAAAAAATGCATCAGACTTTCAAAAATCGACAGAAAAATATATAATTACGAAATCACACCATAGCTACAAAATTTTCTTTGCTATTCAGAGCTTTCCACAGCGAGTTTGACATGGAAAATGCCACTTTCTACTTATCTGTCAAAAAATGTATCAGACTTTCAAAAATCGACAGAAAAATATATAATTACGAAATCACACCATAGCTACAAAATTTCCTTTGCTATTAAGAGCTTAAAGTATTTCTCTCCACAGATGAGTCTTTCAATATCGGACTGAAGTTTGAAATTGCGTTTGAAGTCCGTCCCAGAAGCAGCTCGGGAACTCTTGTCCATGGCCACAGTGTCAACGGGGAGTACCTGAACGTTCACGTGAAAAACGGGCAGGTAGTGTCTTAAAAATGTTTAGCAGTCTGTCTCAACTGTCCTTGGGTTCTAGATATGAAGCAAATTTATTTCACAGAATTATTTCATCTATCTTTCCTAATGGGAAAAAAATTGGGAAGCTGTAACCTCAAATTTAAATGTGGGCCATATTTGAATTCAGATTCATATGTTAGAAGTTGATTTTATTAGAACAAAGAATCACGAAAATAAGGCATCCTTGGGTTCTAGATATGAAGCAAATTTATTTCACAGAATTATTTCATCTATCTTTCCTAACGGGAAAAAAATTGGGAAGCTGTAACCTCAAATTTAAAGGTGGGCCATATTTGAATTCAGATTCATATGTTAGAAGTTGACTTTATTAGAACAAAGAATCTCGAAAATAAGGCGAAGTTACCAAAAAAGATCATCATTAACAACATACAGAGTTTTAGCAAAAGAATTAGAAGAGAACTTTTTTCACCTAATGGAAGCAACAAACATATTCAATATCTAAATTGAGAAACACTAGAACATCCATCTTTTAAAATTTCTATAATATATGTATATCAGATATAATCTATATAACAGCTATATAATGCATATATACATATACTTGTACATATTATTCTCAATTGTTAGAAATTTTTTTAAAAATTGTTATAGTTGAACACCTAAAATGTTACTAAAGAACATTCATGAAAGTATTCAAATAAATATATAAGGAAAAATCATATTTTTATTGATGCCTCTAGCTTAATATAACTGATTATTTGGGTTCTAATACCTTCTATTAAACCGTATAACTATAAAACTTATTCTTTTACATGATACTTACCATGTGTCAGGTACTATTTTAAATGCTTTATATGGATTAACTCATTTATATTTCTCCCAATATCTCTATGATGTAGTTAATATTATGACCCTTATTTTACAAATGAGAAAACTGAGGCAGAGAGTAAGATAAATGGGAGCCAGGCAATCCGACTTCAAAGTCCATGCTCTTCGCCGGTACTTTAACCTGTTCTATAGAACACACTCCATGTTTGGAAATTAAAGGAACTCATTCTGTTACATTCTTATTGTTCCTCTCTCCTCTTCTCTCCTGTAGTGATTATTTTGTTCTCCCTACCAAAGAGTGACCCCTTGTGTTCAAATTGCAAAGCTATTCATGTTGGATATTTGTTAAAGTATTGCTTCACTGTGGTAAATTATTTAAGAAATTCAGTTTTATCGTGATGACGAGAAATGAAACTGAGTTATATAATGTACTCTGTCTTTTTCAGGTCACAGTGAAAGTCAACAATGGCATCAGAGACTTTTCCACCTCAGTAACACCCAAGCAGAGTCTCTGTGATGGCAGATGGCACAGAATTACAGGTGAGGACAGCTGAGTGTCCTGGGTTTCCTTTACAAAGGTGAGCTGGCACACCCACCTGTGAGATGATGGCCTGGCAGAACCTAGGCTATAACTTACATACATAATAGGTGATGGATGACAGTCTAAAAGTGGCCAAGAAAAGAGAATGAAGTGTTATGACACTAAAATGTGTATGTTGAATCCACATATGATTTGAAAATCTGAATGCTGCCAAAATAGTTTTCATGCATAACTTACAGAGCAAAAAAGTAGCATATGAGTATCCTAAATATTCTCCTTTTCAAAGGAAAATGTTAGACTGATTACTTGGTTAGACAGTGTTAGACATTATTGATGTTTTCCATCATAGAGAAGAAAGTGTAGGGGGTTATCTGAAATAAATAAAAGCCATTACTGTGATAAATTAGTCCCTTTCATGTGAAAATGTATCACTTCAGTGCCACTTATGACCATACTTTGCCCTGTATTTCAGTTATTAGAGATTCAAATGTGGTTCAGTTGGATGTAGATTCTGAAGTGAACCATGTGGTTGGACCACTGAATCCAAAACCAGTTGATCACAGGGAGCCTGTGTTTGTTGGAGGTGTTCCAGGTAAGTATTGCTTTAAAAGGACAAGTTTCCAAATCCAAAAAGTACTAAGTTCTCAAAATTGTTATATAGCATTAGACTCAAACCATGCGGTTTTATAATTCAGCTAATAACTCAAAGGATTTTATATGCGACGTCCTTTAACAGGAAAAAGCATACTGAAAATTGTGACTCCTTATCCAAGAATCACAGTAAAGTAACACTTAAGAACTAGGCCCCTGCATTCTAACCTGTAGATATTACTCCCTCCTTACCATATTTGCTTATTTTTTCTGCCTCTCTTCCCTTTAAGTTCCCTCCACACATACACACAGTAAAACACACACTCTAATTATCATTAACACAAAGAAAACTCGTTTACTAATACTGATGTAGGATCTGAGAACCTTGGAGGATTAAAAGTTTGCTGATCATTGCTACTCTTCCTTAGTAGGAAAGAATGCATATAGTTCTCCCTGTCCAGGATTAGTCTGAATTGTGAAAACAGCTGCAGACCATAAGTTTTATTGCTCCCCTGTAGTGACATTCCCTAAGAGAGGTTCCCAGCTGCAGTTCTGTAAACATCATCAGTAACAACGCTGCTGTCGTCTGCCAATAATGGTGTATAATCCAGGATGGTTACAGAAAGACACCTACAGATCTCCCCCCCACCCAATTGTTTTAAACCTCTGAATCAGGAACCATATATCCTTGTGTTGAATGCATTTTTTTGTACATGTCACTAACTTGGAAAAACTGAAAGCTATAGCTGCAGAGAGGGATATAAGAAGGATATATCCAAGCTTTTGTATCTGGAATTTGGTAGGGATTTTAATAATCTCCTAACTAGATTATTTTAGACAGACCCATATAATGGCATATGATACTTTAATTAAGAGTGTAAGAAAGCACGATAAAATAAAGCATCTGACCGTGAGTACTCCCAAACTAAGTGGCAACTAAGCATCCTCACCTTTGTATTGTCGATTTTTTAAATACCAGTATTGACAATGATAATAACTCAGTGCTGAAAGAAATATTTGAGACCCTCTAAAAGCAACCTTTCCTCTCCTTTACTTTCCCCATCCACCCCATCTCCATTCCCCAGACCTCTCCTGCTCCTGGCTTCAGTTCTGAAAGGGATTCTGGCAAAAGCCACCACTGCACTTCATGCAATGCAGTGTGGAAAATGTCTCACTTCAGTTCTTATATTTCTGTTCATTGCTTCCTTCCTAGAAATCGAAACATAGTTTAAAATATCACACATTCCCAAGGGCCTACAGGATCAAATTCAAGCATAGTGTGCAAGGTCCTTGATCATTTGTCCCTTCTTTGCCCCTGCTTCTGGGGTCTCCCCATATCTTCTGGGACTTGTAGTTTCATAAGTGTTCAATGATGCTGTCTCTACTCCAGTCCTGTGCACAAGTGCAGAGGGCCTTGATTTGCAGGAAATGTTGTTCTTCCTTTCCTCCCCTAGTACGTCTTCAGGGAACAACTCCCACTTCTCCCCTAACCTAACTCCTTATTGACCTTTAGGACTGAGCTCAGACTTTTACTTACATTCACATGCCCCTTCTACCTAGGATGTGTGTGCACACCACTGTTGGAGCACTTATTATGGACTGTTGTTAAAGTTAAATAGTTCACTCCTTGCTGGCAGGGAACATGACTTCATTCAACACACAACAGATGTTTATTGAGTGTCTGTTAAGAACTGTGCTAGGCTCCAGGAGATAGATAAATCAAGCATGGCCCTCCCTCAGGGAAGAGATAGTCTTTGTTCTTCCCTTTGCATGCAAAGTGCTTACTACCTCATTCGAATAAATGTTTCTCTTTGATTTTTGTTTGCTTTTATAGTCTGATGCCAGCATCACACACTGCCTTCATCCCTTTCTACAAGTTGCTCAGCTCCACAGACTGGGTGGGCAAGATGTACCTGAAGCCAAATGCAACCCACCAGAGACATATAATGATTAGCAAATTTTAGCTAATGAGCCATCACACAGGAACTAGCAGGCCAGGCGAGGCCTAACCACCAGCCCATTGCACGACTGCAGCTTTTAGTTCCATCTAGGAATCATGCCAGCAAGCCTAGAACAAAAGCAATTATAATTTAAGCTGAATGTAATTAATTATATCATTTTGAGCTATTCAAGATTAATTCCACTAAAATCACATTAAAAACAAGGGCATTGAGGATAACTAAAGAAATTAGTCATACATAAAACCTATATATGCACTGAATTCTCTTGAAATCCCAGCCAGTTCTCTCATATCACTTAGAAATAGCTATCAATAAAAAGCTAATGCATAAAATTCATAGAACTATACACCAAAAATGTCAACTTTACTGTATGATAACTTGAAAATCAAAATTAAGTAAAGAATTTTTTAAGTTAGTGTAGTCCACACACAGATCTAACCTTCATTCCTCTACTGAAAATCCTGCATTATTCTGTGTATAGGCAAGCTTTCAACCTGGGAAGTGTTCTGACTTAAAAACATGCATTGATTTTATTAATCAATTACTTAGGGTCCGGGGGAACTTTTCTGTCACTACCTACAATTAATTGTGTGGTGGTGAATTATGCAGACCACAATCGCTATATGAATTATTACCTCCACATGATTTCCCCATGTTTAGTTCATGGGTGGCAAACTTGGGCAGAATCAAAACCCATGTTCTAGTCTAGCCAAATCTAGCCTCCAATATGAGCAGAAGCATTAGATGTTCCTACGTCTTATAATCGTTTCTATTCACACATTTTTTGTTCTGATGATGAAATACACTGAGTAGGTTTGAAGAATATATACATATAATCATACTAATCTAAAGACAAAGAGAATTTATCTCTCAGGCCCTTTCCAAATGTAAAATTTTATGATTATCATTCTAAATATGAAATGCTGTTTCCATAATTTATTTTCAGTACACAGCTTCTGCATATTCTTATTTTACATTATTTAGAAAACTTATTACAGCTGCCTGATGGTGTTTAATTTGCTGTCCTATTTTATGTTCTTTCCTGAGTTACTGATTTCTAAGTGTTTTCCATCTTTTATCTGCTACTGCTCACATAGTTTTTCATACATAATAATAAGCTTTGACTAAATGGACTTTAATTTCATGATAGTTCTAAGCTCTCTAAATTGCTTTAAATTATATTGCTTCTATCATCCCAACACATTTAATTGTCTGCACAATTAATAAGCATAAGGCTTCTCCCAGATCTCTAATTAAGATAAAGGGAGAAAGTTCCCCTGGCATACCAGAAGGCACCTGTGCCCACAGAAAGACTAGACTAATTATCATTACCCTATTTATAAGTTCTTAAATACTAAGCTCAGAAAAATTAAATTTTAGTTTATTTGAATTCATTATTTTCTCATTATATTTTATGAGTTTGGCATAAATGCGGAGGCTTAGGGGTAAGGAGTAATGAATAAACAGAAACATTAACCAAGTCCAAAAATAGTGTGGAAGCTAAAATTTCTTTCCCCTATCTCAGCAAAGCACACAAAATAAGTGAGGCCCAGGTGAAATTAACCTTGAAAAACATAGATAGACTATGAAAATTCACTGCCGATGCTTTACAGGTAAGTGGTAAATTTCAGCCTTGGAAGACAGCTGCAATACACTGAAATTTGATCACGGAAAATATGACAAAACATTAAAATTACCATATGTTCATATTACTTCAAAAGCAAATAATGTTCTTGAGAAATATATCAATTATAACTATATTCCATTTTTGACACGTAAATCATCTTAATGATGAAAGCAACTACTACATATATTTTTACCAGGAAATAATATTTGGGCTTGAAATGCCTCAATTGCAATATTTGCTTTTATTTCTTTCTCATTTCAGAGTCTCTTCTGACACCACGCTTGGCACCCGGCAAACCCTTTACAGGCTGCATCCGCCACTTTGTGATTGATGGGCGCCCAGTGAGCTTCAGTAAAGCAGCCCTGGTCAGCGGTGCCGTGAGCATCAACTCCTGTCCAGCAGCCTGACACAACACAGCACAGCTGCCCAAGGACAAAGTTCTTCAGAGCACTGAAACAAACACAAAGCCAGCCAGGAGGAATAGCAACTCTTCCTCCTTGTGCAAGCTTTCATTTAGTTGAACAGGACTTAAATGAATCATCAGGGACTGGATGCTTCTTATTTCTCATTTGGATTCTTACCTTGGATCCAAAATGTCTGCAATGGACAACAATCGAAGGAGTGGTAAATGTACTTGTATTGAGAGCAACTTACTTCCCGCTGGTGAAATTACTGTTCCTGTTTCTAATAAAATAGAAGGGATTCTGAATAAACACTGGCACGAATTTTTGAAGTGCGGCTACATTGTCAGATTCATCTTTCTTGGAGGGAAGATAACTTTCAATCTATACAAAAATATCTTTGTCCTAAGCTACCATTATCTTGAAAAGATTTACTAATTTATATATAATCTAAAATTAGACAATAGATTTGCTTTTAGCACTTTGATTTGGTTTATTAGCATAACAAGAATATTTTAAGTTTATAGCAGCAGTTATCACATTTTAGTAAATTTCTAACAAATTATTAGGAAAATGTAGTATAATTTAATTTTTTCTAGATTAAAAAAAGGAATTAAACTACTTTTTTTTCCTTAGCTCCTCAAAAGTAAAATTGTACATGAGGAGTGGCTCCTGTAGGATATTATTATTACTATTATTGTGTGTTCTATAGGTTAATTTATATATAATCTAAAATTAGACAATAGATTTGCTTTTAGCACTTTGATTTGGTTTATCAGCATAACAAGAATATTTTAAGTTTATAGCAGCAGTTATCACATTTTAATAAATTTCTAACAAATTATTAAGAAAATGTAGTATAATTTAATTTTTTCTAGATTAAAAAAAGGAATTAAACTACTTCTTTTTTCCTTAGCTCCTCAAAAGTAAAATTGTACATGAGGAGTGGCTCCTGTAGGATATTATTATTACTATTATTGTGTGTTCTATAGGAATTATCAAGGACATTACAGCAAAGAGAGTAGGACAAAATTATAAAATTCCATTTAAAAGTATAAAAGTCCTTTTATTAATAGTTTTCCTCCATAGGGGCTAGCTGGTTAGCTCAGCTCATTAAAGCATGGTGCTGATAACAATAAGGTTCAGGGTTCAATCCCTGTACCAGCCAGCCACCAAAAACAAAACACGGAAAAGTCTAGAAAAAGAGAAATAGACTTCAGTAGTTGGTGGAATATTAAAATACAGAAACTGAAATAAAAGAATTATACACGAAAAGATAATCAACTCAGAAAACAAAATGAGAGAAAATAGGCCTTGATAGCAGCAGGACCGAAGATATGTAAAAGGAATAACTTTTGAGGGGAGGGGATATAAATTACCAAAAGGAATAAAACAATCTTTTACCTTGAAAGAATTATATATACACTGTATTCAAATATATATGTGTATGTATATATACATTTGCTATCTTGTTTTATGTTCTTTCCTGAGTTACTGATTTCTAAGTGTTTTCCATCTTTTATCTGCTACTGCTTACATAGTTTTTCATACATAATAATAAGCTTTGGCTAAATGGATTTTAATTTCATGATAGTTCAAAGCTCTCTAAATTGCTTTAAATTATATTGCTTCTATCACATCCCAACACATTTACCTACTTAAACCTACTTAGATTCCCCTACTACCCTTCTGTCTTGGGTACATAAGTAATGATGTTAAAGATATCAATGAAAACAGCTACTATCTGTTCATAGAGGACTTGCTAAATGCCAGCCACCATGAAAAGCTATAATTGATTATTTCATTTGCTCATCACACAATCCTATAAGGTAACATCTGCAGCTCAGGTAATTTGTCCACTGTCGTTCAGGATTCGAAACAAGGCTACCTGCCTCTAAGAGCAGCATAAATGTCCTCTTGCTTTGCTGCCTCCGAAGGCTGACAGCCTTTAGGTCAACCCTCAGCTGATCTCTAAAGCGGGAGTCACAAACCCAAATGCTGACAGAGCCAGAGAGGTACCATAGAGGAGCAAAGTTGGTGGGGTCTCACTGAGAAAATCAACAAGGTACTTGCTGTGGCTTGTCTAAAAGGACAGCAAGTACTCAACTTAGTCAATTGTCACCATAAAAAACCAGAAGTCTTAGGGCCAGCCCCGTGGCTCACTCGGGAGAGTGCGGCGCTATTAGCGCCAAGGCCGCGGGTTCGGACCCTATATAGGGATAGCTGGGCCGCGGGTTCAGACCCTATATAGGGATGGCCGGTGCGCTCACTGGCTGGGGGGGGGGGGGGGGGCACG